TTGTGTTTGTATCATATACGATGGGGTTTGTAGATGATAGCGTAGCATTCGTCACACAGGGAATCAGAGGCAAGTCAAACATTTGTAGTCCTGTCTGTTCCACTTTTGCACTACAAATAAATAGGATCTTAAGATAAATCATGTTGGTGTGGAGTTTTATTTTTGAGTAAAAACTTTTCCTATAACAGTCCATAATGATTCATGCTTTTATTTAAACACAGCCAGAAAATATTTAGAGTGAATACTGACCTGAGTTTGATCATCTCGATCCGTCTTGTGAACAAACTTTTTAAAGGCCAAGCTGATGAGTCAGGCTTCTCACATCGCCTGAGCAGTTGTGTGAAAACGGTGAAAGTATTGTTTTTCTATCACTCTCGACAAGCATGTCTCCTCTGACTCGAGAAAAACGGCACAACAAAAATCTACCGAGCCAACAGTTACTCACCGAAGAAATAATAATGTGTGGTGAGAGAAACAGAGAGCTGCTTTCACTGCAAGATGTCTGTGTCGGTTCTCAGTCATCCAGGTCGAGGTAAACTGATGCTCGATTCCAAAGGCAGCTGGACGTCTTGAAGACGATTCACCTCTCCTCCTCTGAAAATAACTGCTGGAAATGTAATCCTCTGTGGATCAACGGTGACTCACAGGAGAGTTGGTGTCCTGGTTTCACCTCGAGTCATTAAACCTCCCAGTCGTCTGTGGGTCAGTGGGATCACATGTGGCGGCTGTGGCTCGGTTGGTAGAGTCGGTCGTCTCTCAACTGGAAGATCAGGTGTTCAATCCCCAGCTCCTGCAGCAACATGTCTCATGTGTCCTTGGGCAAGACAATTAACCCCAAGTTGCTCCTGCTGCTTCGTCTGTGGTGTATGAATGTGTAAGATGGTCACTGGTACACAGAAACCTCTGACATCAGTGTGTGAATGTGTAAAAGCGCTTTGAGAAAAGAAGCTGAAGTTTATATACATGTTCCGGGGTGGGACTCGGGCTTCAGTTGAGAGAGAATTCAAAACTGTTTTGTAAGTTAGTGTCTCAGATGTTTAGTCTGAGAAACTTAAATGCAAAAAAAAAAAATTAATGTCAAATTTAGGGCTGACTATCATTAATCATTAGCTTCAAATTAATTATAAGAAAATTAATAATAATAATAACTTTATTCATACAGCACCTTTTTAAAAACACAGGTTTACAAAGTGCTTTGACAAAAACAAAAACAAACTAAACCAAACACAGAAGAACATAAACAACAACAAGAACAAACAAATACTAAATACTAAAAATAATTAAATACAATTCAACAGAAAAGAACCCAAAGTGCACGATACCCAACAGACATATAGAACCCAACCATCATAAGAACCATCACAAGAACCATCACAAGAACCCAGGCATCACAAGAACCATCACAAGAACCATCACAAGAACCATCATAAGAACCATCACAAGAACCATCTTAAGAACCATCACAAGAACCATCATAAGAACCATCACAAGAACCCAGGAAACACAAGAACCATCACAAGAACCATCACAAGAACCATCACAAGAACCCAGGAAACACAAGAACCATCACAAGAACCATCACAAGAACCCAGGCATCACAAGAACCATCACAAGAACCATCACAAGAACCCAGGAAACACAAGAACCATGACAAGAACCATCATAAGAACCCAGGAAACACAAGAACCATCACAAGAACCATCATAAGAACCCAGGAAACACAAGAACCATCACAAGAACCATAATAAGAACCCAGGCAACACAAGAACCATAATAAGAACCCAGGCATCACAAGAACCATCATAAGAACCCAGGAAACACAAGAACCATCATAAGAACCCAGGCAACACAAGAACCATCATAAGAACCCAGGAATCACAAGAACCATCACAAGAACCATCACAAGAACCATCACAAGAACCCAACAACACGAGCTGAGACCAAGAGGAACCAAAGATTTAAAAAGATGTAAGAAAAGAGCTAAAAGTAAATCAAAAGAGAACAGCAATAAGAAGGTAAGAGCAGGAAAAGAAATAGAAACAAGTGCTTAAAGGATCAAAATAAAATAAAAACTATAATATTAATAAAAAATAAAATAAAAACTATAATATTAATAAAAAATAAAATAAAAACTATAATATTAATAAAAATAAAAAGTAAATATAAAACATAAATAGACAAAATTAAACATAATCCCAAGAATACTTAGTATAGTCTAAAAGATTTATGTTTTTGTCACTAAAATATCAAAACGAGCTGCACATTTAATGCAGTTTTCTTACAAAATCATCGTCTTTACTTTCAGTCAGTTTCGCGCTCTTTCCAGCAGAGGGCGTTACATCCGGGGCGTGACGTCTAGTGTTGCCAGGTCTGTTTGTTATAAGCGACTTTGGGCTTGTTTTTCCGTAAGTCGCTTGCAAATATCGTCAGTCGCGGGTTGCGGGTTTTTGGGCTTGTTTTGTAAAGTGTAGTTGTTTGTTTGGGCTTGTTTTCTAAAGTG